CCCCTGCGCTGCCTAAATGTTTGGAAGATAGATGGATATTTAAATGTAATCTGTGGCATGGATGCGTCTGCACGTATTGGGGGAAAACCAGCGCGGGGCCATTTGGCGTTCCTACCCAAAGCCACTCTGGCGGCCGAGGCATCGTAGTTGATCCAGAAGGAGACCCAGGAGAGGATGGTGATCAGGATGGAGGGCATGTAGGTCTGCAGGATGAAGTAGCCGATGTTCCTCTTCAGCTTGAAGCTGAGGGAGAGTCGCGGGTACGATCCTGCAAAGGGGATCACACCCATATTTGTGCCTAATTAAAAGTAAACACAGAATGATGTCCTCAAGGCTTTCGCTGGCCTCTATCTCAAGGCGGCCACCACGGGCTTGAACTCACATTAAATTTTCATGATGCTGCAGCGCCCAGGATATTCCATTTACACATGCTATGATAGAATAACTCCTTTCTACACCATATGATCTATACCATAAGCCTATTTATACATTGTAGTCAGAGCCATGAACCCTACGCAGGATGCAGAAACAGTATTTCAGGCGCATTGTAATTATTCCAGTCTAAAAAGAGATAAATTCTTAGGGATTACGCCTTAAATAACAGCGGTAATGAAGCCAAAATTATTTATAGCGATGTAAACAAAAGGCCAGGATGTGAATTGGGAGGGGATGCTTTGGCGCCAGGCCAAGGGAGATGCCAACTGGTGTTCGGTGTCAGAACGTGACGACGGGAAGGTGATGACGGTATGACGAAGGCCAAGAAGTCCACGCGTCTCGCACGTGGCGCCGGGCCAGTCCTACCGTACTCGCTATTTGGACAGGCTTCTGTGTGTGTGTGTGTTTACATGCTGTAAACGGAACACAGGTAAAGGGAAAAAAAAAAAAAAAAGGACTGGCTTCTATTTTTACGGAACAATTGCACACACACTGCGGGGTGTGGTGGTTCAGGACACTGGGCGCTTAACCTGACGATGAAGGTGTCCCACAGTCACCTTGACAGACCTACCCAACCTGAATTGTTCCAGTAAAATATTCCACTGTATAAATGGATAACACTCGTACTTTGCTATGGATGAAAGCATTGGGTACATAATTAGGTAAAGATTAAATGTTGGGGTCAGTGAAACAGGGATAGATTATGGTTCTAAAGGCTCATGGGAGTTTTACTTACACAAAAATGTTCTGAGAGCAAAATGGATTATGATTGGTTGAGAGAGATAACCAATCAGATTGTAAAGCAGGTAGGTCCAAGCAGCTACAGGAGGTAGGGCCAACCAATCAGATGTCTTGGTTCCGCCTCCTATACAATCTGATTGGTTATCTCTCTGAAACAATCATTATTCATTCTGCCCTCAGAACATTTTTATGTAAGTAAAAACTGCAAAGCAGGGCCAACTCTAGCTATAGGAAGAACAGGCAGCTGACGGGGGCCCCGGAATTACCTGTGCTGTGGAGGAAGTGAAACGATCGTTGGTTTTCTTGGCAAAGGGGCCTCTCATGTAAAGCTCTGCCTAGGGCCCCGGGGAAGGAAAGCCGGCCCTTCGCCGAAGTGGCGCGCGGCAGGACGAAGCCAACGGTTTCTGTCGACCTGGATTTATCCCACATGCCTGAGCCTGTTCCCTCGAACATCGGGTGAGTCACTGAGTTGAAACTGCGAAGAGTATCGTACTGTGACATCTTGCTTCCCCCGTGCCCTACGCTCGAGGCGTGGTGCGGCTCAGCGAGTTAGGCCTCTATGTCCGCGGCGGCCACTCAAGCTCCGGCCTCGGCAGAACAGTCGTATCTCTGTTGGGCCCTTGAACAAGACCCTTAACCCCCCCCAAAATACTTCAGAGGTGCTCAGTAAATGGCCTGACCTTGTGCTTGGGCCCTAAGCTTCGCTCTTAGCTGTGTATATGTTTGTGCGCATATACGTCTCAAAGAAGAGCATGATGGGATATGCAAAGTCTTCCAATGTACCTGAACCAATACTCGTGCAAATGACGGGTAAAGATTCATTTCTTTCTCCCCCGCTTGCATTCACCTTGACGCCTTAACTGCTCTCAGTCCTCGCGCACTTCATAAATAATCCCCTTCAGTTCCAAACGTGCGCCAGGTCAGAATCCCTCCGGAATTGTTCCTTCTCCAGAGTAGATCCGGAACGCGCTCCCCTAGTGACTGTTGTTCTGATTGCTCGCATCGCAAGTGTATGGATATGAAAATGTAGTTCACAAATAAGGGTGCTCTGAGATAGGTCTCTGTTTGAAGATCGGAAAGTCAAAATGACAGCATGAAGTCTCTCAGCTACTGTGAAGATGACACTATGATATGCCGCCCATCCTAACCCCCCCTGTCCCTCCCAAAAAAAAACATTATGTGTTCCCTCCTTAAATATCTGGTGATAAATACACAGGGATGCACCTAATTGGTACACGTGCATGCACTTGCTGCATCAAGCACGGCAATAAATGCAAAAAATGCATTTGCGCTGTTATGGCAACAAAAAAATTGTGCAACTGTGCATTTTAGCCTTTACTGTATATGTTAACGCGTACTTTATTTGCAGTGTAATGCAGGGTAATTCCTTGTTCTAGCAGTGCAAATATGCCTCATAAATACACATACATGCTACCTTGTCTTATGTAATACATAATAAATGGTGTTGGAGTTGCTATGTTATTTATATGTCCAAGGGAGACGCTTCAAAGTTAACATGACGTGGCCCTAGAGGAAGACACAAACTTTCACCACCTCCCTTATAATTTTAGTCCCCTTCCCCATGTCGAATTTCCACAAGACTCTCGTCATTGCACCTATAGACTTTGATCTGCCTGCATTAACATTGCGTGCTCTATTGACCATGTAGTAGCCAAGGAAACTGTAGTATTAAGCTTTGCTAAGCTAAGAACCATCAAAAATACAGACGGTAAGAGCTTATCTAGAAGGGCACACAGTTTGCTTATCAGCCCTAACCTGCTTGCTAAGAGGACATGACCAGAAAGGTGCAGGATGTCTAAAAGTCTGCATTTTTTCCCCTAGTGTAGAACACAACAGAAAATAGCAATACTATAGTATTCGTTTTAAACGGAAATAGGTCAGGTACCTATAAATGATAATTGGTCATTTATGTATAGCATGGAACAGCAATTTTAGGCCTCCTGTCCAAATAAAATGACAGGATTCATTCCTACTGACCACTTACTATTCAAACTTTTCCCTCGACTCTGACCTGGATAAGTAGTTTGAGGATGTATGGATGTTTCATTCGTAGTGGAACAATTCCCATAATTCCTCGGCTTATCTGTTGTTTTGCTTGTGAGGTTTGTGCCGAGATGTAATTTTATGGTGTGTCGACAGCATAATAAACCCATGCTGCTTCAGATTCATCACCACAGTGCCTGGCTTACCGGTGGAGAAGACGACGTTCTTGGAGATGAGCTTGTAGTCCACGATGGAGAACTGCGGCAACTCTATCCGCTCCACCCCCGTCACTGCATGGTCACCCCCTCGCCAGTAGAACTCGATGTCATCTGTGGTATAGCCATCTAGGGCAGGGCAGAGAACGATTCGTGATTGGTCGATTGTGATGTAATAGGGGAACTGCCCTCTGGGTGGAGCCACAAGTCAGCCATGCAGCTTGGTTGAAATGAGACACAGCTTTTCTGGGGAAAATACCCAATAACCCTAATAAAGGTACTTCAGCAAAGAAAATACTCCAAAAAGTACCTTAAACGGTCTTTGTTGACCCATTTAAACATAAAACTATATATAACAATCATACATACATATGCATACACACATATATAGACCAGAGTATCTGGAGCAAACTCCACGATGACATGGGGAAAACATATAAACTCCACACCCATGGAGTCCTGGCGGAGACTCAAACCCTGGTCCCAGCAGTGCTGACCTCTGTACCACCCCCTCCCCCAAAATAAGTCTTGTTTTGAAAATATATATATATATACACTCACCTAAAGGATTATTAGGAACACCATACTAATATGATGTTTGACCCCCTTTCGCCTTCAGAACTGCCTTAATTCTACGTGGTATTGATTCAACAAGGTGCTGAAAGCATTCTTTAGAAATGTTGGCCCATATTGATAGGATAGCATCTTGCAGTTGATGGAGAT